ATAAATGATTAGATTAGATATTAGAAATATTTAATTGATTAATAATCAAATTACTAAAATAATTTGGAGCAACCCGGGTTATAATAAAATATTTTGCTCCAGGTTAGTACAAAAAATTAGAAATCTTAACCCATTCCATGATGGAGTGATACATAGCCCGGGTTGATGCCAGAACATTATGTTCCATTCAACAACCCTAAGTGCGAGGCATCTATAACAGTCAATGATTATCACATGACTTTAAAAGCCTATAACTCCTTATTTAAAAAGAAAAGTAAATCGAGAGAATTAAAACCAAATAACTAAGCTTTATTTACATCGGTTTAATTTTTTCATTTTATTAGAAAGTTTTGAGTTATAAGGCTAAGTTAGACCATTTTATATGCAAATTGTAAAATCTCGGAATGATCTTCCTTTGTGATTTCCCAAAAGATTTAAAAATTTTCGTGACATAGAAAATCTTTCCGATAAAAGAAATCTGATCGCTTAAATTAGAAAGATCTATTTAAAATTTTGGACGGTGACTTGTTCAGATGAATTTGACGAAAGTTTTGACGACCTTTGAACTGGATAAATATTTTGTTGTTGTTGTTTGTCATTATTAGTAGAAGAAGTTGCTCTTAGAAATGGATAAATACTTTATTGTTATCATTCGCCATTATTAGTAGAAGCTACTTTTTGAACTTTGTTGTTGTTTGTTGTACAGCTAATTTTTGATATTCTCGTTTTCTTGTTTTCATTTTTATTATTAAAAAGATCGTTTCCCAAATTTGGAAGTGAAATAAGGAGAAAAATAAATTGTTGTTTCACTGTTCCGTTTCTTGTTCCTTCTGAAACAACACCCCTAATACTAGTATTTCAATTGAAAACGCAATACGGAATTGATCAACATAATAAATTGCAACTATCTACACAATTTTTTTCTTATACTGTAATATAAAGACTTTTTTTTTTTGTTTGATATTTTTCTAGTTTTCTTATCATTCACTCCATATAAAATTTAATGTCAATTATATCCTTTAATTGGTAAGTGTGCCCATCCTCATACTCATTGATTCGCAATGACTGGACCATTAAGGAAAGAGCTTGGAAGGATCCATGCAATTTTGCAAACTTTTCCCCTTGGAACTCTATTTGAGCTACTACAAACATTGCCTTTCATATTCATACAACAACACATATAATCCTATATATAAATTTATCATTTGTAAGCTTTTTATTTTAAATTAGATTCTATAATAGATTATTGATGATTTGTCAGCGGTTTTGATTGGATCATAATCTCAAAGACAAAAAGTCTTGATGATTGAGACCTTGTAAAAGTAATTATTATTAATTATAAATGATATTATGAATATATTCTGAAACAACACCCCTAATACTAGTATTTCAATTGAAAACGCAATACGGAATTGATCAACATAGTGTATATATTATATTGAGTTTCGCATCGAAATTCGATAAACGTTTCAGTTTAGGATGGGTCAGCATTTAAGTGTAGCTATATGGAATTCTTTATTATCAATAAAGTATATATATACACTTCAAATGAAAATCATAAAGTTATAACAAATAGTTTCATTTGAAATGATGAAGAAGAGCGAGCCTGGAAAGGTAGATTTAAAACATAGATGTTTGTCGCAATTGCCTTCCTCTTAATAATATTAGTGCACTTAATAAATCAAATATCATATTAATAGTTGAGACTTTTCCAAAACCAATTTCGGAAAGCCACATAATTATATAATTATATAATAACAATAGTTATCATCCTTCAATGGGATAATCTAACCAACCATTGCTCACCAAACATATGTGTACCACCTGATCTATTTTTACAATCCTATCTTTTTTATTTTGAGAATAAAAAAAAAATCCATTTATTAATTAATACATTTTATCAACGCAGGTTAAAAAAAGTTACTCTTTTGATATTAGCTGATGATTGTGTGGATTACACATTATATATTGTATGGTAACATTAGAATAAAAAATCCAAGTTACATAAAAAGATTGTCTATTTGATAACTGTTAAATATGGAAAAGGATAATAATAATCTTGATCTTTTTTGTTAGAAGCAAATACAAATAAGTTGACTTGTTAATAATTAAAATACTGTGCTTGTTTGATTAGCAACCTTTTCGTATTTTTTTCTTTCTTCCTAATTTTACCTTTTATAAAGATTAGTTATTATAAATAACCCTCTCTTTCAATATTGATGAGACGAAAACGGATACTATTACTTACAATATTAATATTAATATTGACTTTTTCATCGACTTTTTTGTCCGAGATCTTTGTATTTTTTGATGTTCAGTACTCGCATGACTTCTACAAATGTAATGAATGTACAGATAATAAGATAAACATATTAATGTTGTTTCTATTGTCGGTTTACCCACCCCATTTTTGGAGGAATTAAAGTTCGGTGACTAGAAATAAATGAATAAAAACTATCGTTTGATACTAATACCTATTTGGTAATTAATATATTTTTAAAAAAAGAATTTCATTAATTGTTTATGGGTGGAATGCATTGTATGCATTCCCTGAATTTCTTGTACCAGACACCAGCATAAATCCTTTTAATGATCTACACCAGATAATTTTAATCAATTACTATATTAATATTAATACAATTATAACTATAATTATGACTGTACCTTTCAGGAACAATACTCCCATCAGTATTAGTTACAACTAACCTTACCACAGGTGGTGGATCGATAGGACGTCTATCTTTGTCACCGAAACCGCACATCCTTGCTCTTATTGGCTCTTGACAGACTTCTAACCGGTAGCTATAAATTGTAGGAGAAAAGATTAATTCTTGAGTATTATAATAACTGTCTTTTTTCATGATACCTTCTATTATTATTATTTGAAAGCTTAATTAATAAACATAAACTGAAGAAAACATGAAAATGAATAAGTTCTTTCTGGAGAAACAAAACTGTGTGATCTTGAGCTAATGGTTATTGTTTTTTTTAAAAAAATTTTTAAGGTTTCGCGGGTTATGTCACACTACACCCAATTTTTTCACTTGATGATAGGTTTCAGATCCACCATTATTATCTAGTGCAAAAACTTATATACTTGATAATTAAAGATTATAGTCGGAAAACAATTTATTTGGTATCATCGCCACTTTTCAATTGACTTGATCAAAAATAGAGGCCATTGCCAACATTTCCTCGGCCACGATACATCGCCAACGTCATCATCCCAAATCATTTATTAAGGATAATATTATAGAGAACAATAACACAAAATTCTAGTCAAAGGACACTAATTTTTACTTGACCAAATAATGTTGGTGATGGTTGTCCATTAACACCACCTTTTGATATATATAATAATAATAATAATATGTATGCAGGCTATAATATAGGATAATAAAAAAATTATCACATTCTTTTATTTAATCTATACTGCATTATTAAATCCTCATTTCAAATTGATCCTTGTATAGGAAGTGATGAGAATATTGACATACTTGAATATAATGTCTAAATATCAAAAAGCTCTTGTAGACATGCATGAACATCTTGTTAATTAATACTTGTTACATTCCATTCAATACAATATAATGATGAAAATAATAAAAATGGAATTTCATACAAGTCTTTTTATTGTCATTTGTTTAATTGTTTGTGAGTATCTAATGATACTACATTTTGATATGACTTTTTTTTGAATTAAATAATATTATCATTAAAAATTTTTTATTCTACATGATATATACATAAAAAATTTTTTTTAATATTGAAATAAAATAAATAGATTAATTATAAAATAAATATTATTTTATTTAAATATTAAAATTTTCATCATCAAACATTCTCAAGTAATAAATAAAACGTAATGTTTAAAAAAATTTATATACATATATTTATTATACCATTTTTTGTCCTACTAAAACTTCATGTTCATCTTTTGATTCGGACGAATTCATCCCTGATTTCATTTTATCAACCAAATGCATTGAATTTTGTGATCTTCTGGTACTAGCTTTTTGTAACCTACTAATTCTAATACCATCACTCGTACCACCATTATCTTGAAATAATGAGTTTGTAGGTGACAAATGTTGTTTTATATAATTGATTGGATGTTGTAATGGTGACGGTAATGATAGGATATCAATATGATGATCAAGTTTTAGCAACTGTTTTGGCTGATGAATTCGATTATTATTATTATTATTATTATTATTATTATTATTATCATTATTATTAATATCATTTTCATAATCATTACTATTCTCATTGGTTGGTGATGACAACGTTGTTGTTGATAATGTTGTTGTTGAGGATGAAGGTTGTGGTGGTGGTGGTGAATATAATTGATTATGAATTGTCGATGTGATTGGTGCAGTAGCCGTAACTATTATCGGTGAAAGGGTTTTATTTGTTCTAGTTTTTTCTTTTTTAACAGGTGATGTTGTAGGAGTTGTTACGGATGGAATTGTTGTTGTAGTTATTGGTGATAATGATCTGAATTTGTTTTTTAAAGTTTTTAATGTCGGAACCTGACCATACGGTTTCTTTTCATCATTTTTGTCGTCGTCATCGTCTTTATCGTTTTCAAATTCATTTATTATGGCAGGATCAGGCATTGATTTGGTACTATTGGATCTTTGAGGTCCAGAACCTTTATTTCTCGTTTTTAAACCGCCAAGATCCTTTCCCTCTTCAAAATTTACGCTCATACTTCTTTTATGTCTGTGTTTACTTATTATCGTTTTTGTGGGAGGAGCTGTCATAGAAGTTGGTAGATCGTATGATAACGTGGCAGATTCTTTAATAGCACCAAAATTCATAGAATACCTTTTGATGCTACCAAAACTTGCTCTAATTTCAGATGCACCTGGCTCGATATAATTTGCACGCATTAACAAACTATTATTATTATTTAATGTAGATACTGTTTCCATATCATGATTTATTATGGTGCCAGTTGGGGATAGAATAGCGGGATTTCTAAGGTCAACAACTGTACCTTTTGAAGTTTGCAATAAAACGATTCCCGAACAAATCACCAAAAATCCCAAAACAACGGTTATGACACCTTGAGGTGGCGCTTCGAAACCTTTAGTCAAAATGGATGATGATATTATTGTTAAACTAGTGAATACAACATAATATACGGGAGTGACCATTGCAGTGTTGAATAGATTCAATGCTTTGTTTAAATAATTGATTTCAATCAACAACGTTACAACTATGAAAACTATTAAAAAGTACGTAAACCAATGTGTGAATTGATTTTCGCCTTCTATAGTTTTGAGTATCGCAATACCAAGACCTTGAGTCGTAACAACCGAGAGTGAACCAATGATTGAACAGACACTGATATAAACCAACATATTTCTAGACCCATATTTTGGTGCAAGCCTCCATATTATTAAACCAGATGATACTATACAAACTATTGCATAACTAAGAAATCCTAGATAACCAAATAAACAAACAATAAATGGATTAAATTTAATTATTTATTTAATAAATCAAAAAAATTATTATTAATTTTTTTTACCAGGTGAAAAAAATAAAGATCGAAATTCATCAATAGAAGTGGCAGAATGCTGAGGCGGAGCATGCATGACAATTATAATAGCTCCAATAATACATTGTGCACAACCTATTTTACCCTGCATGCTTAATCTTTCTTTAAGAAAGATTGAAGAACAAATTGCGCTGGGAACATGAAAAAATTAAAAGAAAATTTTATGATTAATGTTATTCATATTTATAATATTTAAAAAATCATGAATTATTGATATTACTATTTTTACCTTACTACAACACTTAATGCTCCTAATGGAGTTACCAAGATTGCTTGTGTAAGTGCATAGGCAACAAAATTACATATTTCACCAATAATCACTAATAATTAATGATTAATAATTAATAATTAAATCCTATAACAACAAAAACAACAACAACAATTGATCACACACTTACTTAGTATCATTCCACTCCACCATAATCCATTTGATAAATAAGCATATCCTTTACCGGCAAATTCGTTTGCAGCTAGCAAGCCTTTCTTTTTTAAAACGAATGAAATGCCAATAAATGCACCTAAAAGCAAAATAAAAATTATTATTGTTATTATTATTATTATTATTATTATTCAATCTATACATACATACATACATATATATATATATATATATATATGTATTAATAATAATTATATACCACTTGAAATAGCCAAAGTTATTCCAACTGTTTTAAATATTGGATCATTTTGATCAACTTTAACACTACTGTTACTATTCGTATCATTATTATGGTTATCTGACATATTAAGTGTGGTGAGATTTATAGAAGAGTTGGATAATTTTAACGGGTTTTTGATGTGATTTTGAAAGGGGTGCGAAAATTATTTTTCTATTATTATTATTATTATTATTTTGGTTGCTATTAAATAAAAAATCGTCTTATGATAAACAATATTAATAAATATAATAATTGGTAAATAAATTTGTTGGTGTATTTTAATTTTTTATCTCTCAAAAATAAAAAATTAAATTTTTTTTTTTTTAAAAAAAAAAGAATTCTGGAAGGAAATGATTGTAGATCTTTGAATGTTTGTTTGTTGTTGTTGTGTATTAATATTAAATAATTCTTATCAAATCCGAGAGCTCTTTCAATTAAATAAATTACTTTTAACTTTTTTGGAAAAAATTAGATTAATAATATTGTTATTGTTGTAATTAATTATTAATATCAGTATAAAAAATAAGGTGAGAAGATGACGATTAATTAGTTATTCTTATTAAATATTTCAATAAACAAAATTTTAAAAAACCTTACCCTAAACAATATAAAGTCTCTATTTTCTCTTAGCTGCCAGCAACCAATTAAATATAATAATAATAATAATAGTAATAATGTTTTGTATTAATAATATTAATGTTATAATCTATATTTCATAATGAAATGAAAAAAATTGCAGAGCGAAAAAATATGTTGGAAAATTTCAGTAAAAAATGTTGATAGATGACAGCAACAAAGTAAAAATTCTTTTGCTTTTAAACTCTTTTTTTTATTATTATTGTTCAAAACTTATATTATCTTCATGTTACACGAATCTAATACGTACCCTTTATGTCACATCCCATTTGTATTAACCGATTTGATCAGAAAATAGACCGAGCACCATCATTGTTTGCACAACAAAGAATGATTTAATTTATTTTTAATGCTAATTTTAGAAATCTGGAAACTAAAAAAATCAGTCGCATGAGAATTCAGTCGACAAATTGGCACGCTAACCCAAATTTGCAGATTTTTGCAAATAATTTTCCAGATTTGGTCAGTGTACCGGCTGAATTCATACATTGAAAGTTCATCTATAATCGATTAATTGCTTATATTTAACAATTGGTCAGCTTAAAACAAAAAATTTATAATTTTTATATATCATTTTAAAAACGTTAACCGATAAGTTTTATAGTTCATGACTCAAGCTTCAAAAACTTATCGGCTAGTTTTTTCTTAAACTAAAAATTAGCAAGCAGAGCCTTTTAACATTTTGAAAATTCCCAAATTTTGTCAACAATTAAATCAAGTAAATTTTGTGTAACAAATTTTTGTATTATTAATTTCCTTTTTTTTTTATAATTTACATCAAAAGAAAATCATTACCAAACTTGGTTATGTAATTCATTGTATATAACATGAAAATTATTATTATTGTATTGTATTTCTGAGCATAACTCTCAAAATTTAAAAAATACATGAAAAACAAATTTGAGACAAAAATTTTTTTTACATGAATTGACTCCCTTTTTAAAGCTAAATGAATGGTGGCGGCTTTTTAAAACCAAACATGTGGGATCACATAATATTTCAAACTTTTTAACTTTTGAGTATAGATGATCCGCACTGTATTTAGTTGGTGTTCTCTAGCAAAAATCGGTTCCGGGTCCTCTGACCAAATTTAAGTTTTTAATCTATAAATCACAATTGGTGAAAATATTAGGCCCTGTTTACTTGGTACAGTAATAGTAATGAAATATACTTAAAAAGTACGTGTAATATATTTTGCAGAGATCGTCACTCAAGAACCAGGAAGTGTAAATGAGCATTTAGCTAAACTGACTAAACTATTTAGTTACTCATTATGTTAACGTGTTTAGTCAAGACAATTATTACTAAATTAGGATTTTAACACCTTTACGCGGCCATAATAAATATTTGATGATCTGCGTCATAGCAACCCAGGATACAACTTCTTTATATATTAATATACAAGAAAAATTTTAAAGCAGGTTGTTAATAAAACGAAAATAATCTGACCCTCAAAGTCAAATTTTGCTATTATATTCATCATATATACTACCCGACAAAAGTTTGTGAACGATGTTTTTCGTTAAATGCTTTTTTTTGAAAAGATCTTCAAAATATCTAGTGGGCCACCCATCATTAGAAATTCATGCCTTAATTCTTCTTGACATGCTTTCAATGAATTTTTCGTAAGGTATTTTTAACCATTCTTCTTCCAATGCAACTTCCGATTTTGGCACTGTTTATATTTTTCGCCGATCCCGATATAGATCTAGAAAAAAAAAACGAAAGAAATAAAATCTAGATGCGTTAAAGTATTGAAAATCATATGTTTTATTCTCCGAAACTATAGCTTTTATATAATATAATTTTATTATTTTATTATGTAAATTTTGAGAAATTACGAAAATACCGTAAACATTTTAGAATTTAATCAACTTATTGTTTTTTTCTTTTTAATTAATAAAGTACTAGAAATACAAAAAACATCAAAATTTATATAAAACGAACAAGAACATCCAATGTTAAAATCATATTATGTAGCATTTTGCATAATTAACGAAAAACATCGTTCACAAACTTTTGTCCGGGTAGTGTATGTAAGTATTGGTTTAGCGCGTCCAATTTCGAGCAAAAATGATTACACAACTATTTATTATAAATATAATAAATAAATAGATATTAAACTTTTTCTTTTCACATTTTATTCCTACATAAATAATAATAATTAGAATAATTAGATAGTATAAACAAGCAACAATAATATATCAATTGTCAAAGGAGAAGGGGAATGTAGACAATCATTTAATATTATTGTAATAAATCTTTTTTAAAGTGTGATTAAATCGCTCAATTCGATCAAGCATTCAGTGATATGTAAAGAATATTGCGTTTTTTAAAATTTTGAAAAATTATATCTATCAAATACTTATACATGGCGTTTTATCAAACCCTATCATATAATTATTGATTAATTAATTGATAGACGTTCGTCAATAAATTTTATAAACTTGTTTCGCAAGCTTCGTAATCTATGGCTGTTGCTCCATCAACCACATCCATCTTTTCTACACCACTTCTTTCATCAATGTTATTGTCAACAGAAACTGATTTTAATTAATATTATTATATTATTAACAAAAATTAAAAATTAAATTTCAATTAATCAATTAATGATAATAAAATTTAATTTACATATCTTCATTTCAGAAATTACTTTAGAAATTACTTCAGATACTGAGTCAAGTTCAAGATTGTGTTGTATTTAATAATACAATCTAATATTCTATTTGAATGTTTCGCTAGTGCATATTCATTGCGATGAATTATCATCATTATCATCATTATCATCATCATTATTTGAATTCATTTGAATTATTTAATAAAATGGTGGTCTTGAACATTTACAAATCCAAAATTAAATAATAGATTTTAGACATCCCAGATAAATATCCGACTCTTTTGTAAACATACGATACACCATCAACTGATCTATATAATCTTCTTTGCACCAATATTTATTACTACACTGCCTGGAAGAAAGTATCCGAACCTCGCTTTTTATTAATTCCGCAAACTTTTACATAATAAAATTTTTTTTGAAAATCAATATGTAGCTTAGGTTCTAACAAATGTGTATGCAATATCTCACGATTCTGTTATTTATACTAATTTTTTAACCAAAAAAAAACGAACTTCAATTAAATTTGTGATTTTCATCCTCGAATTTTGTTTAAATTTGTAATTTTACATAACGAGAAAAAAACCAAAAATACCCAAGTCCTAAGATATAATTATGGAAAAAATCACTCTCCTGTCATTGGTAGAAAATTTGTTATTAAAAATAATCTGACGATAATAAAATCGATTAAAAATTCCGAATTAACTGAAACTGAGCGTGGAAAATTTTTGGGTCTTAGATTAGGTAGTAGTAGTCTCAATAAAATTGTAAAGATACTTAAGCTTCCAAAAACTACAGTTTATGATATCATTAAACGTTATGAAAATGCTGAAATCTATCCCAAGAATTCTCAAGAATTAGAGATGGCTTTGCAAGAGGAGTGGTCTAATACTCCTGAAGAAGTTTATAATAAACTGATTGAAAGCATGCCAAGGAGGATTGAGGCATGCATATCTAAAAATGGATGGCCTACAGAATATTAAAATTTTTTATTAGGTGATGTTTTAATTTAGAAAATTTTTGATGATCATTTTTTATATTTTTTATATTAAATGAAGTTCGTTTTTTTTTGGTTAAAAAATTGATATAAATAACAGAATCATGAAATATTGCATACACATTCGCTAGAACCTAAGCCACACGATGATATTTTCAAAAAAAATTTTTATTATGTAAAAGTTTGTGGAATTAATAAAAAACGAGGTTCGGATATGTAAATCACAATGCATAATTAACCAACATTGTAATTTGTCGTATAATACGAATGATTTTTGCAATTATAGTTGGCTCCGAAAATACATTTTTATAAAACTGCACCTCCGTAAATAATGTAAATAATTACAGCCTACATAAATAATTACAGGTTTACATAATAACGATATTAATAATAATAAATAATTATTCCGTGATTTAATAATCTTAATCTCGTAATAGTAATATAGTAATATGTAGTAAACATGATTATTATTATCTATAAATAACTACGGAGAAACTATTGCCATAATTGATCCCAACTTAATTTTACAATAAAATTTAATGCAGTGTTGCACTTGGCTGTCTGTGCCAAGGAAATTTCTTTGGCCAAGATCAAAAATTAGTTGTGACGTATACATGCAAGCAATTAGTAATTATAATGCCAATTTTCTAGTCCAAAAATAAATCACGTGCAAAATGAAGTTAGGGTTAAAAAATCTAATGATACTGTTAAATATGGAAGAGTGTTTAGGTACTAAATTCCTTTTGATTGGCTATTTCCATACATGTGAATTGTAACACGCACAAGTCAGTTCATTAAAAGAAAAGCTTGCACTCATATTATAAATAAAATAATGAACCTGGCAGACAAAAGTAGGATGTCAAAATCAAATTCTGTCCTCAAATTTAACCGAACCACTACAAACCAAATAACGGCAAAAGAATATTTAGTCAATATAAAATATTAAATTTAATTTTCTAACAAATTATATAGAGTTGGAATAAAAAGAATATATCTATTAACAACAAAAAAATAAATCCTATTTTATTAAAAAATCAATGTTTTATTTCCTAAAACTGAACTAATTCGCATATCTTTTTCATGACGATATTTTTAGCCATAAATCGCTTCAATCAATCAACATTATTCTTTATAATTGTCTCTAACAGGAATCCAATAGTTTTTTTACATTGTGCTTTTAATTTGCGTCAGAAACAACTTTAGATTTCTTTCTATTTCTATATTTTGTCCTGCATGATAAAATACTTATCCATAAAAAGATTTTTATATCTACTGTCTTAATATTACAATTTATTATCACCAGACAGAAGAACTTTTGTATCTAAATCTCGTTTTGAATTATTTAATAATTCTTTATCAATTGCAAATGATACTTGTAATAACACTTCATCAAACACATCTAGAAATGAAATTCAAAAGGCTGCATTTTTATCATTAATAATCGAAAATGAAAAACTTTCAGAAGATGAAAAGGAATATATATTGTAAGAAACAATTTATTTATAAGTTTGAATTAGATAATGTTATTTTTAAATTGGGTGAACCAGAAGAATGTAATGAGTGCAAATTAGATATTCAGACAAATTTTGTGAAAACTGTATTTGTATGAACTTTTTGATACATGGTATTCTCTATACATCTTCAATGTCAAATGTGACCCTGAAATTCTCTATTTAAGTTCAATTGTAAACCTAATACATTTTCAAGGTCAATTGTGAACTTGAATTCTCTATACATTTTCAAGGTAAATTGTGATCCTAAAATTCTCTGTTTTCATGATCAATTGTAACTCAGAAATCCTCTATGTTTTCAAGGTCAATCGTGATCCTGAAATTCTCTATACATTTCCACTGTGTTTTAAAGGTCAATTATGATCCTGAAATTCTCTATACATTTCAAGGTCAATTATAACACTGAAATTCACTGTGTTTTAAAGGCCAAATGTGATCATGAAATTCTCAATTGTGACTTGGAATTCTCTATACATTTTCAAGGCCAATTATGACCAGGATTCTCTATATGGTTTAAAGGCCAAATGTTACCCTGAAATTCTTTATACATTTCAAGGTCAATTGTGACCCTGAAATTCTCTATTTAAGTTCAATTGTAAACCTAATACATTTTCAAGGTCAATTGTGACCCTAAAATTCTCTGTTTTCAAGATTAATTGTGACTCAGAAATCCTCTATGTTTTTAAGAACCCGAAATTCTCTAATACATTTTCAGGGTTAATTGTGTCCCTGAAATTCACTGTATTTTAAAGGTCAAATGTGACCCTGAAATTCTCTATATTAATTGTGGCCAGAAATTCTCCATGATTTCAAAATCAATTTTACCCTCTGCACATTTTAAAGGTCAAAGGTGATCCAGAAATTCTATAAGGTCAAATGAGACCCTTAAAATATGTGTTTTAAAGGTCAATCATGATCATGTAATTCTCTATATGTTTTAAAGGTCAATAATGAACACAGAAATGGTTAGACAAATCCTAAAATTAAAATAAAAAAACAATTAGTGTTTTATCAGCATCATAAAATAATTCATTTGAACAGTGCAGTGTTAAAAATGCACTATTACCCCCAGGATGTCAACTCAACACAAAGCATTAAAATGATGGAGCTCTTGCAATTTTTCATGTGTAGAACTGTCCCATTTTCTACTTGTGCAGGAAAGTTAAATGAGAAACACCCCACAATATGTAAACAAACTTTTCAGAGTGACCTGTTTACTTACATCAAAAATGTTCTGGTTATAAACTTTTTTCAAGTATCCATTCCTTGGATTTGTTACACTGTAACTCGGTGTAACATCATTTGGTTTGCTTTTCAATGAAAATTTAAAGTTGAAAACCACCCATTTATATATTTCCTCAAGAAAAACCCACATAAACAATGCTTGAAATTATACAGTAATATTCCAACAAATTAGGTATCACCATATATTGTACTGTTATGTGAATAAATCCATGGAGCTAGACTCTGCATGACATATAAAACTATATTCTACAGTGTGTTACAATAAATCATCCATAAAATATTGGTTTACTTTAAATGTCATTTTATGTAATAATAAAAATTTTAACAACATGAGTTGAAAGAAATAATCAAAAGCTAACTCTTAGCATTGAGTTTTTTAAAATTGGTTTATTTTTGGGGAGTAATAAGGAATTAAAATTAATTATATTTATACATATTTTTAAATTTGGCCACAAAATTTTTGCCAAGATTATGACTTAACCTGGGCCAAAGGATTGGAAACTTTTAAATTTTGCCGGCATTAATTTTTTTGGTTTCACGAAAGTTAATAATACGCGACACATTTATACTCCTTGCAAATTAACAAATAATTATAAAGATTTTTAATTATAAATTTATCCCAATA